GATTCGAACCAGCGATCTCTCCATTTGCAGGCTGGCACTCAACCCACTGAGCCACACCAGCCAGGGCCTAACTATGTCTTTAAATGAGTATCACAGTTCTGAATATGCACCCAAACTGGGCCTCTGGAAGGAACTGAGATGGGGGAGGGTGTTAAAAAGAAACTTTCTTCTCTGTGATATTTTCATTTTTGATAAGAATCTATTCATAGATTTGAAAATGAATGGACTTAGTATTAAAGGTAATGCTAAAGACCAGCTCAGGGAGGTCTGGAATGTTCTGGGCTTGTGCTCTTTTACAGGCCATTTAAGATTTTCCAAGTCGAGCCTTGGGACCATCTGTTGCCTGATGGAACTGAGGCGTGGAGAGTTGGGAGACAGGTCTCCGCCCGGAGTCCCCATCTGGCCGCATGACCTTGGGAGGTCCCATCCCCTTTCCGGGCCTCAATGTCTTCATCTGCCCAATGGGAACCAGATTTCTGTGTTGCTAGGGGATGTGGGAGGATGAAATGAGGACACAGGAGAATCCCATGAATATAAGGGATTATTCTCTGGGTCAGGAGAGTCAGGGAGTGGAGGCCTCCCCACCACCTGCCAAGCCCACAAGGGTGCAAAGGAAGCAGAGCTGGGGACCACCCCGGAGAGCGGAGAGCCCATCTGTGGGACAGGGGCACGTGGTTCGCAGCTGTGGTGCAGCCACCCAGGCCGCCGGGAGAAACGCGTATGAGCTGGCTTCTTGCTGCTCTCCGCCTCAGTGCAGCCACAGCCCTGCCACCTCTCCGAGTCCCCATCATCACCCTCCCACTCCCAACACACTCACACACACACACAAGACCACGCCACATCTGCCCTTTTAGCCCATCTTATCCCCACAGCCAGAATGAGCTCCCACAAAGAAAACCCTCTTACATCTCATGTTTGCTCAAAGCCCTCCAGTAGATTCACACTGATCTGAAAACAAAGCCCAACCCCCCACCTTAGCCAACAAGGCCTGGCATGATCTGCCACTCCCTGCCCCCTCCCACCTCCAGCACGAGAGTCAAGAGCCTGGCATCAGAGAAAATCTGCCTTGGTTAGAATTCTGGCTTTTTTCCCTCATTCCCTCACCCCTTCAAAAATGTTTATTGAGCACCCTGTATAGGCCAGGTACCATTCTAGGCATTTGGGATACATCAGTAATGAATGAGACAGGACCAGAAAGGTCCCTGGCCTCATGGAGCTTCCTTTATAGCAGAGGGAAGTTAACAATAAATACATTAAATAGTATGCTGGAAAGTGACAGATGTTATTAAAAAAAAAAAGAAAAAGTAAAGCAGAGGAAGTTGATCAGGAGTACTAGAGGAGCAGGGGTTGAGTTTTAAAATAGGACGGTCAGGGTAAACCTCATCGAGAAAGTGAAATTTAAGCAAAGACTTATAGGAGGGGAGGGAGGGAGACATCAGGGGAAAGTGCAGGCAGAGGAAGCAGCCAGTGCAAATGCCCTGAGGTGGGACTGCACCTGGCATGAACAGCAAGGAGGTAAGGAGAGAGGTTAGAGATGCTTCAGAGAGTTAGGGAAGCTCATGTGTGGCCTTGGGGGCCTCAGTGAAGACTCTGGCTTTTACTGAGTGAGATGGGAGCGTTGGAGGGTTTTGACCATAAGGGAGTGGGAGAGGCAGAACCGGGAAGGAGGGGTAGCCAGCAGCGCTTGCGGATGTCTTGTGGGTGGCTGCTTCATCCCGATCCCACAGGGCACTCTGGAGTGTAATTATATCTCAGAGTTATCCACCCACATCCCTGCCAGCAGCCCAGGCAAGAAAGGTGGGCTTTCAAATCCCTGAAATGATAGGGTACAGCTTGTGGGGAGGGTAAGGCACCCAGGGGGCTCCAGAAGTCTGAGGGGTGTCCTCCCCCAGGACAGAAGTAGATGCGGTCACCGAACACTTACCCAAAGAAGGCTCATAGAACTGGTGAAAAGGGGTCAAGGGGAATGGGCAAAGCATCACTCGTGTTGACTCCAGTCCCCAAATGCCACAGCCCCAGCAGCCATATCCCTTTTAGCCTGGACTTGGGGTGGCTGAAGATGGAGGGTGTACCCCAGTATGACTAGGTGGAGTTTATCTGGTTAGGAAAGACTTAGTAGGTATCAGTCCTATCCAGGATAGCAGAGGGATTCACCCTCTACAATATCCCAACTACGTGGCAGTCCCCGTACCTCTGGGATGGGGAGCTACTTACCCTTGAGTTAGCTCTGTTCATCTTTGGATACTTTGGATTGTAGAAAGCTCTGCTTCACACTGAGTCCATTCGCTCATTCAGTAAACATCCACTGAGCACCTACTGTGTGCAAGGTGTCATGCTAGGTTCTGGGGACATAGAAGAAAACAAGACAAACAAGGTCCGTGCTTTGAGGAGCTCCTGACTAGAGAAGGAGATGATCAGAGAAAAAAGATGGCATGGTGAAGGCAGTGATGGGGAAGCCCCAGAAGCTGCCAGGGTGATAGGGGACTCCTGACCCGTGGGAGGAGGTCACACCACGCTGATAAGTGGGAGACATGTAGTGGTCACACAGGTATATGGGTGTGGGGGAAAAAAAAAAAGAATCCAGGCTGATGGGGCAGTGTATGCAAAGTTCCTGAAAACCCTGACTGCTCCCCACCCCACCGCCCCGGGCCCAGCACCACCCTATCTTCCCTGGATGATTGTAGCAGTCTCCCCTTGGGTCTCCCATTGAGGAGCAAAGCAGCTGGGGCATGTAACCTCCAACTCTTCTCTCTTCTTGGTTGAGGGCCACGCATGGGGACATTAACTCGCCGCACTCCTCACTCCACTCGCATCCATGAGCAGAGAAGCAGAAAGCCACAGGCATGCGCAGCAGTGTCCAAATGTGACCTCCAGGGAGGGCTCTGCCCATCTGGGCAGGGCACCTCCCTCCCCTTTCTGATCTTAGTTCCTACCTTCTCTTCCTTGCTCATTCAGTTCCACTGACACTGGCTTTGCTGTTCTTCCAACTTACAGGGCATTTGCATTCTGCTTCCTGTGCCTTGAATTCTCTTCCTCCAGAAATCCACATTCCTTACTTCTTTCACCTTTGCTCTCTGCTCCAATGACACCTCCTCAGAGAAGCCTTCCCTGACCACCTTATCTCAAATAGCTCCCAACCCATCATATCCTTCCCACCTTGCCCTGCTCTGCTGTTCTGCAGAGTATTTATCATCACTTAATATGATAAACTTATGTGTTCATATGTTTATTGTCTGTCTCTCTCACCAGACTGGAAGCCTCTGAGGGCAAGGACCATGTGTGGTTTTGTTCATGACAGAATCCCTAAAACAGGGCTAAGGTAGTCAATAAATATTTGTGGAATCAATGGTTCTGAGACAGAAGTAGTCCTGAAACAAGAGTCCTTCCAGGTCTGACTGTCTCAAAGTCTTGGATATGACCACCCCAACACTTCCAAAGGCAGGGGTACCCTCTAAGGGCCAGTCGCAGGCAAGAAGCTACCAATTTGGGAGCCTCCCTCCAATCAGCCTTTCCCCATCCAGGTCCACCTGGCAGGGGTCAGTGGTCAGCCTGGTCCAGCTCTCTTTGGGCCCCACAGTGGAGGAGACCCAGCTCTGGGGTCCATGCGCCAGGGATGTCTGCTGAGCCATGCTTCTGCCCTGGTAGATGTTCTCCACTTCCTTCCCAGGGCCGTGTCAGCATTTCTGAACCAGAAGGTGTTTACACAAAACATCCTGGGTTTGGGGACAAATTCACCCTCAACTAGAAATCCTTAATGAATCTCCTTTCTTCCCCACACCAGGCAGCTGCAGGGATAATGAGCTCTGCCTCTGACAGCTAAAGGCAGCCAAAGGCCAAGCAAAGAGGAAGGGCCACAGTATCAGGGAAGGGAGGGCTTTTTTTTTTTTTTCAGGGCTCGGAGACAGCTGTGGTATGGAGAGCACAGAGCTCCTAGACCCAGGTTTGCTCCTGACTTTCTGTGTAACACGGCACTGCCCTTCTGCCAGCCTCAGTCTGCAGCTGTGGGATGGGGCAGGAGGAAACCTCCCATACAAAGGTTGTGAAATTCAAGTAAGGCAAGGGATGTGAAAGAGCTTGGTTACAAGGTGCCAAAAGGAGGGAATAAAACTCAGGACTCGGGTAGGAGTCCTGAGTCCTACCTGAGTCAGGTAGGAGGTCAGAGTTCTAGTGTCAGGTCTGCTGTTGACTTTTTTTTAAAGTCCTCTCTGCTCCCTGAGCCTTGGTTTCCAGCTGTACAATGAGGGGTTTGGGCATGATCTCTAGGGAACCCTCTGGTTCTAAAGGACAGCCATTTTTTCCCTGCCTGCCTCTTTCTGGAGGTCCTCCCAGATCCCACGGCCCACACCAATATGCTTTCCAGTACTTACAGAACTTCACTGCTCACTGCCCATGGTTTTCCAGCACCTTCCTTGGGTCTAGGTCCACTATTCCATATCCCAACATGGGGGCTCTTAAGCATTGGTCAAAGTAAGTAAAACATTATTCCTGCCTCTTCTGATCCTGCAGAGAGACGATGAGAGGAACTTTTATTCACCCTCATTTTATAGATTAGAAACGTAATGTGTCAGAGGTTATATGTAAGTTACAGTGCCCCATGGGCTTCCTTGGTGTTCCTCAAACAGGGAAAGAATGAGTTACACTTCTCCAGCCCTATTTCTGCCTGTCATAGTATATAATTAATTTTTTGGTCATTAATTGTCTCCCTTTCCCTCTAGGATGAAGTTTCATGAGGGCAGGGACTTTGTTTTGTTCATTGTTGCATTCTCAACTCCTGAAACTTCCTTACACATAGCCGGGTGCTCAAGAACTACATGTAGGGAGGAAGGGAGAGCTTGAGAGGTCGCCCCGAGGCCTGTGCTCTCTGGACCTGCAGGGGGCGCTCCAGCCCCGCCCCCCAAAGAAAGGCCCAGCATCCCTGGTTCAGTTGACGCGCGTGCGTCGGAACTTGTTTGCCACCGGTTCTCTTTTAATTGAGCATGCGCGCCGGAAACCCGGTCAGAGCGGCGCGTGCGCAGGCGGAGTGGGATCGGAGCTTAGGAGTAGCGCAGTCGCGGGTGGCGGGCACCATGCTGGCACCCGAGGCTGAGCGGGTGCTGCAGTACCTGGTGGAAGTGGAGGAGCTCGCCGAGGCGGTGCTGGCGGACAAGCGGCAGGTAGGAGTCGCGTCCGCGGGGCAGGAACCCGAATTCAGCGGGTGGGGCCTGTTGATGGGGCGGGACCCGGAATCTGGTTCTAGCACCCGCTGGCAATGGGTTGACCCGGGACTGGTAACCTAATAGCGGTGACAACAAACATGGCAACTTGGCATAATGCCGTGCTTCCCCCTTTTATATAGCACATACTAGCGGAGCTCTCCTAGCGATCCCCTTGCTCCGTCCTTCCTTTGTCCTTTACTGTGCTCCCCGGATCCCTAACCATTACCCCTTTGGGCAGTTTACCTGAACCTCTTCAAGATGCAGTTCCGGGACTCCCTCAATGACCTGGCCTGCGCCGCCCCAGTCAGGGTCCTGAGGGGAGAAAAGGAACATCGAAGAGGTCCGAGTGGCGTGTGATGGCGCGGGGGTGGGGACGGGGAGGGACCCTAGACACGGCGGGCTTTGCAGATCTGAACACGGAGCTCGGGTCTGGTTCTAATCCGGGTGCCTCGTGTTTGAAGGGAGTTCATGGGAGGGGCGAAAGATGAGGTAATTGGATTCAGGTTTTAAAAGGATCCACTCCCCCCCACCCCCGCCCCGGGGTCCGGGAGACGGATGGGCTTGGACCAAGATGGTGGTGATGGAGATCGCGGATGAGTCAGAAATGTGTTTTGGAGATGAGTGTAGTAGGTCTTGATTCTGGTAATGTACGGGGTGGGGGGCTAGGAGAAGACAAGAGTGATTCATGACTTCTCTTCAGTTAGAAGGATTGGCTGGTTGGTCAGTCGGGTATTAGACTTGGGAAAACAGCCTATGAAATACTGCGTGAAGGCATGCTGAACGATGATAATGACAGCAGTTGAAGTTTGTAAGTACTTACTATATGTCAGGTTCTGTGTTAACTCATTTCATTCCTGGTCCAGTAACCTAAGAAATAGGTACTGTTCATACCTTTATTTTGCAGAGAGGTAAATAGCAAGGTGAAATGGCACGGTTCATAGCGAGAGCAGGATTCAAACCTGGGTATTCGGATTCCAGGGCCAGTGCTCTAAAGCAGTGTGTGACACTCCCTCCTCCATTCTTCAGCTGTCATGCTGGTACCACTGTTTTCGTGCCCCACCCTCTCTGTTCTGGTTTAGTATTGTGGGCTCCTCGAGATTCTAGGTTAGAATCAGCTGGAGGAGCTCGCCCAGGAAGAGGTTTCCACTCCCTGGTGATTCAGAAATCCCCTAAAGCTGGAGAACTGGCGCTCAAGTGGATAATGAATTATCTGTTAGCCTTTTGCCAGCACCTGCAATGGGGGGGAAAACACCCACACAACGAGTGGCTTTAAGGACCTGGAAACTGAGTGGGGGAAGCAATACATTTACACATCAGTCCATTTTAGACAGGACACTGGAAGTAACCCAGCGATGATGCCTTGTTGTCCTTGTCAGTGTTAATAGAGAGGCGGGTCTGTTGGGAGGCGACAGGTTGGGGCAAGACGTAGCTGAGATCCCCGCTGCCCCTCTGCTTTTCAGATTGTAGACCTGGACATGAAAAGGAACCAAAACCGAGAGGGCCTGAGGGCTCTGCAGAAGGATCTCAGCCTGTCTGGTAAGTCAGGATTTCCTCACTACAGCCCAGGAGGCCTGTTCCATTTTCCTTCTAAGGTCTTTGCCTTGTCCCTATTAGAGACCGGGCAGGAGGCTGCAGGTGTGTGACGTAGCCCGTGGGCATCGGGGAATGTTTTCATAGGTCTGACACAGACTGGCTTGGGGTTTCAGCTGCTCACCCTGGGACAGGCCGTTAGGTGCTGGCTTGTCACCGATGGCACTGGGAAAGTGCCGGGGGTGGGGAAGGTGGAATAAAAACTGTGGTTCCTGGCCTCGTGCTCCACAAGTGAGCAGAGCAACGTAAATACATCCTAGAAGATGGTGAGAAAGCTGAAGAAGGGACTGGGTGTGGAGTGAATGTTGGAGGAGGGGATGGGGGCTCTTAGAGGCCGAGTGGCTGTGACAGAATAGGCGAGGAGGGAAGGGCAGGTGATGACGCTGGACAGATGGGCAGGGGCCAGGCCATAATGGAGGGAAGAATCGTGAATGTTGTTTAAAGTGGCATTGGAAGGTCTGAAACCTTCCCGGTTGCTTCTAATCTCACCAGAGTGAAATTCAGAGTCCTGCAACACCCCATGGATTCCAGACCCCCTTAAATTCTCCAGCGCCATCTCTACTTTGCCCTTACTCGTTGTCTCCATCCTTACTGGCCTTGCTCTTTGTTAATACCCCAAGCACATTACTAATCTTTGCTGAAGGGCTCACACCCTCACTTTCTTCAAGTCTCTGTCCAGATGTTAGATAATCAGCGAGGCCTTCTCAGACCACCTGGTATACATAACAAGCCCCTCGCTGACTCTGGCATTCCTCATCCCTCTCCCCTGCTTTATGTTTCCATACAGTGCTTAGTTAGGCCTGTCAGGGTCTGACAGATGATATCTTTGCATGTTTATTCCCCCTCCTCCACCATAACGTATGCTCTGTGAGTACAAGAGCTTCATCTTGTGCTGCTGTGTTCGTGCAGCATCTACAACAATGCCTAGTAGACAGTAGGTGCTGCAAATATTTGTTCAATGAATGACCATTTGCCGTTTCAGAAGATGTAATGGTTTGCTTCGGAAACATGTTTATCAAGATGTCTCACCCTCAGACTAAGGAAATGATTGAGAAAGGTAAGGCTCCCTGGGCGTGGATCTTGAGCTTTATAGCTTCCACTTCTCATAGCGTGGTTTGCTTTCAGGTGCAGTCTGCTACGGTGAGATATCCTTTTCTGTTCACTGTGGCTGATTAGGTTCAGCTCGAGCATTCAGCCAGCTCATTGATTGCTTAGGTTGTTTAGGTCTCGTGTTACCGCTGTCATGCTCTCCTGAAAACCCCTTGATGGACTTGGGCTTTTCCAATTCCTTAGCCAGCCATTTCCCAACCATCTTCGGGTAGGCAGGGGTGTAGGCTCTTCATTCTATTCTGACAGTTGACTTTTTCCTGATTTCACTGAGTGGTGACCTAAAGTCCTGATGTCGCCTTCCCTATGCTCAGGTCAGAGGACTGAGAGTCGGGAATGGTCTGCTCAGCCTGATCCTGGGCTCACTCAGTGGTGGTGGGCGGGTCATGTTGCATCTCCAGCCTTTGGTTCCTTAGTAGGTCTCTGAAGTCCCCTTTTCCTTCCTGAATGCTAAGGGCCCTTGCTGTCAGAGGGGTCAGGGAGAGGCTGGCACCTCCGACTCCTTTGGGTCATTCTGTTTATAGTGTAACCTCATCCTGTTTGCCTAATTCACTTTGCAGATCAGGATCATCTGGATAAAGAAATAGAGAAACTCCGGAAACAACTGAAAGTGAAGGTCAACCGCCTGTTTGAGGCCCAAGGTATTGGCCTAGGCAGGGTGAGCGGGGAGGCAGGAAACCAAGAGGGTTCGTAATCAACAGCACAGACTGAGAGGGCGGGTGGGAAGCCCCTCCCAGGTAGACAGTGGTCTGGACTGCATGTGAGTGGCACTGAAGCTGTGGGCAGTGGTTGTCTCTAGCCATCCCAAGGTAGAATGGACGAGAAGTCTGTGGGGTCTTCTTCCTATCACAAGTGCTTTTTCCAGGCTCCAGCAATAGCCTGGGGTAGCTTCCATTTTATGCCAGGGAATGGCGTGGGGACCAGGATAGTTCTGGCTCAGAAGCCACATTTCTAGGTAAACCTCACCGCTCCAGACCAATCACAGGTATGGCAGAAACCTAGCAGAGTCATGATTCTTCAGGCTCTGGCCGACTCGGGAGCGGGTGTCGATGTGTACTGTTCAGTACATTGCAGGTGTGAGGCCCTTCCCTGTCAGACCTGAAAGCCAGGTGTTCGGCATCGTGCATGCAGCGTAAGCTCCTTTCCTAGGCCTGGCTCCAGGGCCTAGGGTTGGGCCAGCAGGAGGCCTGAACTTGCTGATTGATCGTCTTCTTCCCCTAGGCAAACCGGAGCTGAAGGGTTTCAACCTGAACCCCCTCAACCAGGATGAGCTTAAAGCTCTCAAGGTCATCTTGAAAGGATGAAATTCAAGAACCAACATAGGGGACCTAATACCAGAATTCCCCCCTGGGGTCATGCAGGACCCAGAACACTCCAGCCTTTGAAACCTGCAAGGACGGTATCTGCCCTGCAAGGGGACAGGCATCTGGCCACTGCTCCTGTATGGAGCGTCTTTCTCTGTGACACTTGACTGATTCGTGACAGCAGGAGGGAACCCTCAGCCTTCCAGTGTCTTCCAGGCCTGTCCACAGGGGCTGGAAAGACACAAGACCCATTGACAGGCCCGAGCAGCCACCAGTGGGTGGGTGTGGGCAGCGCCTGTGGGGGTATGAGGACTGCAGCGGCACTTCTCAACAGTGGCCTGCTGTTTGAATGGCCTGGGCAGGGAAGAAGGGAGAGGGGAAGAGTGGGAGCTTCGTTCCAGCATTCCTCTCAGAAAGGGAGACATTTTCAAGCAGCGTGTGTAACAATTGGAATGAAGCAGGAGGCTCACAGGTGGTTTCTGAACAAAGGACAGAATCTCGGTGCTCGTGGTCCACCACAACTATCTGTGGAGCAGACATACCATTTCTCCCCGCTGGCTCCATTTTGGCCTGTTTTTCCTGCTTGCTTCCAGACAGCCCGGAGTGGGTGCCACTTGTCCACCCCCTGCAGCTGCTCTTTGGTCAGGAAGGCTGTGCAGAGTCCTGCACCAGAGATGGGCAAGGGAGGCTGCCTCTTAACACGCTTCATGCCCCGCCCCAACCCCATCACCTCTGAGAGCAGGGCCAGGGCTGCTCAGAGTTTCCTTATCTTCAGTGTGAATGCACTGTGAGGGCAACGCGGTGTCTTTCCTGTTCATTGAGGGCTCAATAAATGTTACCTAAATGAATGAATAGCATCTTCTAGTCCTCACCTCATTTGGTCCTTCACTGAGAGCACACTACTCCCTTTAGGTCAGGGATGTCACCTAGGAGGGGCCAGTGGTTCCTCGAAATGACGGATTAGGCAGTAGCAGCAGAGCAGAATGGAGAGGGTTCACCTAGTTCCCCCTACCCCCCCCCCCCCGCCCCGGCCCTGCCGATAGTTATGTGGGAGCCCAGGCTGGTGTGGCCAGACCTTGTGTTTTATTAGGAGCTAGCACTTTGAATTTTTTTTTAAGTTGAACTTTCTGTTTTTTTAATATTAGTGACTCAAAAGTTTTTAAAAACTTTAGTGTTGGCCAAACAAAATTCCTTACCTAGATCAAATTTGGCCCAGAACTACTATTTTGCATCCTCTTAAGTTTTTTAGTAGAAATTTCTGCGTGTTTTCCTCATGAGAGTAGGAAGATGGAATTGGAAACTAAATGTCCACAATAGACTAAAGGAATTGGCAGCCCAGTCCTGGGATACTGCACAGCGGCACAGTCAAGAGTCGGGAAGCCTCCGCACCGATTTGGGACAGCCCCAGGACCGGTAAGAGCAGGGGCGGGGCAGGTGTCCAGTAAGCTGAAGGCTTATATGCAGTCACTAGTCATGTGGTTACCTCAGAACAGAAACTGCATGGTTGGGGTGGAAGGGAAGAGCACGTTGCTGTTGCACATTTTAAAACAAAATTTTAAAACTAGGGAGTAGCAGCATTCACTTCGGTAGATAATATCTGGTATAACTGCCTTGCTCATAATTTCTCTGAACATTGCCCCTACCTACCTCTCTGGCAGGGTAGACGCTAGGCCAAAAAGCCAATTGGATTCTGCCAGAAAGGGCAAACCCGTGCCTGGGGCTGTCTGGGCTTGCCCCAGGGATGGAGGGACGGCACCGTGCTCCAGAGTCAGGAGGCCCAGAGTGGCCTGGCCTCTGGCCTTCCCAAAGCCAACTGGTTCCCTTCTCGGATTTGCCAGTATGTTCCTTCTGAAGCCCTCCCCGTTCCTGGGCAGTCAGATTCTGTTATTTGCAGTCGAAAGAACTGCGTTGAAGCTGGGAGACTGGTAGGAGGAGCTGCCTGGGGTCTCATGATAGGCCCATAGGGAGCAGTTAGCCCACCAGCCGACTCATAATTTCTGTTAAACCAAGAGGAGGTGTAGGAATACAGGGATGTGGAAAATGCAGAAACTTTCACTTAACCCAACTCCTTAAGCCATCTCTTTGCCTGCGACCCCAGGGCTTTCTGGTTTAAAAAGCTCAGCTCCCAACTTCAAGCAAGAAGGCCCAGAGAGGCACCTTTGTCACTCAGGTGACTTTGATAGGTGCACTTTTTTTGCAGGGACCCTTACTAAGCAAATCTGTCTCCCTGATCTTTCCCTGTCCATCTGAGAAACGGGGGTGGCCTGGCCTGCTGGCTTTCAGATGGGCTCCCCAATACTACAGGTCAGGGCATTGCAAGGAGGGAAAGATGTACTTAGGGTCCAGTCCTCCAGACCCCCAATAAACACAATCTAATAACTTTGGCAAGTTTCCTGGCCTGCGAATCCTCGCTCTTGGAGGACTCTTTCACCATTAACCTTCTGAGAGACATCAAAGGGTCAAAGCCAGGAGGACCACGTGGCTGCTGCTGACAGCATCCCCGAGGCAAGCCTGGTGCCCAGTAACTCTTGAGTATGAGCACAGTAACTCTTGAGTACGAGCACGGCCTGTGCTCATTTATTATGCTCACAGAGCTGTGATCTCTCTGGGGTAGTAGAACTTGCTGGGTTTTTCCTCTTTGGGCCTGTTCGCCAAGCCAATCTGTCAAGGTTAAAACCCATCCAGTCCAGGGACCTGGCTTTCTACTAGGGCAAAGATGCCCCAGGGTCGGGCAGGGAATCCAGGGGCCCAGCCCAAGCAGCAGCCAGCAGCTGTGGCCCAGCCAGAGGGAGGGAGGCATGTGCTCGGAGGTGCTGTGGTGCTGGGAGTGGAGTGGGGAGAGGACTGGCTGGCGTGGTGCCTCCCAGGGTCCTGTGGCTGGGATTAGCTGGAAGCTTTCTTCTGGCCTTGAAGGGAGCGGAACAGCTGCCTCAGCTGTGTTTTTCGATCATTGATGCAACCTAGGAGGGAAGTGGAGTGTTGGCTGGGAGGGCGTGTCCTCAGGAAAGGGGGTTTGGGAGAGTGGAGTGGCCTGGGCTCCCACTACCTGGTGGGAGGAGGGGACAGCAGCCGTGCCTAGGATGACCTCTGGTTTGCACCCTCAGCGGCTGCGGCCCTCAGGCAGGCCATTTTCCTCTCTTGAGCATCAGTTTTCTCATATGTCAACCAGGTACCTGCTTTACAGGATGAGTGTACAGGTCATTGAATGAAGCTGGCCTTCACTGGGAACTAACCCAGGGGCTACTTCAGGTGCTGCATGCGGATTAACTTGTTCTCATCAGACGTTTGAGAGGCTAAAGTAACTTGCTCCAAATCACACTAAGCAGCAGATCTGGGGTTTGAACCCAGACTAATCTAGCTCCAGAGGTCAAGTTCTTAACTGCTACCCCACATTGCTTTTCTTCTGGCCTCAGTGACAATGCATTGAAAGCTAGCCCGGTGCCTGGTACCTTACAGGTTAAATGCAAGCTCTCTTCCCCTAGGCAGCCCCCTGTGGCAGGCACAGTTGGGTAAGGGACGAATCTTTTCCATGAGCAGCCTCTGCTCTCGTGGAAGTATGTCCCAGCCAGTCTGTGCTGAGAGGCCAACATGAGCTTCTGAGACACCTCTTCTCCAGACACATTCATGGAACAACTTCATGGTCATTCTCTTTTCTTTTTCAATCCTCACCCGGGGACATGTTTTTATTGATTTAAGGGGAAGAAAGAATTGAGGTGAGAAACATGGACAAGTTGCCTCCCGTGCACCCCAACCGGGAATCAAACCTGCCACTGTTTGGTGTCCAGGACGATGCTCCAACGTCGATGATACTCCCAACTGCTGCTTGAGTGATTGAGCTCGTGGCCACAGCTACTGGCCTGGCAGCGCCGGCCACCTTTCTTATCACCCCAAGGCCCTGTTTCCAACTCCTACACACTCACCACTCATCGAGACCTGGCTGAGCTGAGAGCCCACTGTGCCTCCCCAGGGTTCTGTGGAACCCTGGCTTTAACTTTAATTGACTTATTCGTAACTCCCAAGTCTTTGCATCCTACACAAATCTCCTCTCCGAGTTCCAGCTTCGTCTCTGGGCTTTCTGCTCATCCTTTCACCGGGAAATCCCTCCACACCCCCGTAACGCGTTTCATCAGTACCCTCCCCACCAGCTCCCCTTGCGTTCACCGCCACGTGGCCAGGCACTCCGCTAGATACTTGGCAGTGGTTCTGTAGAGACTTCCCGAGCAGTGGCTCTCAACCTAGCCCGTGCTTCAGAGTCATCTTGGAGATCTTAAAAAACGCTGATGTTCAGACCACCTGTATCTTTTTCTCCAGCAGGCATCTGTTTCCTAAAGCTCCCATGGGATTCCAAAATGCAGCTGGGGTGGAGAAACACTGTTCTGGATCTTTGCCTCTCAACGGGGTCCAGAAAGCAGCAGCATCAATTTCTGAGGAGGACTGTTAGCAAAACGCTGTGACGGCTCCCCCCTTTCCTGTAGGCAAACCTCTCTGTAAGGTGACTGCTCTTTCTTCCACCAAGAGGCGGAGTCTGTCTTCTTGCCCCATGAATCTGGGCTGGACTAGCTCTAACCAATGCTTTGTGGCAGACCAACACTGTGGGTCTTCTAAGCCCAGCCCTCAAAGCTTTGCTACGCCTTCTCCCGCCGCTTTGGATCCCTGGGAGCACCACGTGAAGAAGCCAGAGCAGCACGTCTAGAGGACAAATGGCCACCGAGAAGGAGAGGCCCGGCTGACAATCAAAATCAGCCACCACACATGTCAGTGAGGCCATCCTAGGCCATCACAGCTCAGTAAATGTGCCAGGTGCCTGCAGCCCTATGAGTGACTCTAGGCGACACCTGAAGATTGAGAAGCAAATAAGATAGTTGTTTTAAGCTTCGAGGTTTTGGGAAGGTTTGTTACACAGTAACAGGTAAAATAGCGTCCCCTGGAGCTTGTCCGAGATGCAGGGTTTTGGGCCCCATGCCAGACCTACAGAATCATAAACTTCACTTCAACAAGATTTCCAGGTGATTATATGACAGCTTGAAAGCACTATGTTGGCATCCTCCGAGAACATAATGTGGCAGACTCTAGGGATGTGCTGTGGAAAAGCCATCCGCAAACCTCCTTGCATCTCGGGTGGCCACGTGAGCCTGGCCTGATGGATAAAAGGTCGGGAGAGGTCCACAGGAGGCTTTCCCTTGTGGAATAAATAGTCAAAGCTTGAAAGAAAGGCTTTGGCCCTTGGACCTTTCTGTTTCTCTCTGCCTGGGATAAGGACATGGTGCCTGGAGTTGGAGCAGCCATGTTGCAACCATGAGGCAGCAAGACTAAGTACTAAGACAACCTGCTAATTGTGGCAAAGCAAAAGGAGGGAAGCTCTGGGTCTTTGGGGGCATCTTGCTGCCATTGTGTCAGCCTTGTACAGCCACCCCGAGACTTCCTGTGGCTCAAGACAACTCAGTCCTTCTCTGGATAACTATTAGCTGGCTTCTTTTGTGGCTTGTGGCCAGCCCAATCCTAAATCCCTAAGAAAGATTTAAAACCTTTTCATAAGAAAAAAAGATGCCACGAACTACATTCAAAATCAAATTACAACCTCAGTAAAATATTTACAATGAGCTCAACAGAGAGGTAATATCCTCAACATATCACTATCCAAGGCCTTTCTACATCTAGAAAAATGTAAATCCATTGGAAAACAGAGTACAGACAGCTAACAAAAGAAGAAATGCAAATTCAAAGATCTGAAACCTCACCAGGAATCAGTGCAGTGCACAAGTTGTTAATTTTTTTTTTTAATTCAAAGCTGGCAAATTCCTGTAATCTTTCTAGAAAACCATTTGGCTGTAATAAGTCCATCCGTCTGACCCAGTAG